CCAAGTGAATATCCTATGTGATTACATAACTCTTAGTTATCCCTTTTGAGGCATGCTGAACCTTTTCTATCGCCACAACAACTTTTCTATGTTTGCATCTCAAAATACTGACTGGCTTTTGGTCAGGATTATAGTTCAGTGTGCAAATTGTGCCAAGTGACAATGTCCATGGATTTGGCAAAAATATGCATTACATGATGTTCTTTGTCAGGGCTGCAAACACAGAGCCATGATTTGAACGATGGCTATGTTTGTAGAAAGCAGCTTGTGAAAGCTTGATAAATCCTATAAGTATCTGATCACATCTAAATCCAGAGCAATCTATTCCTAGTCTCTGCAAGGATCAAAGGAAAATATGTGGGTGTCCTGGAACCCCTTGAAACAGTAGAATGCATGAGGTAACATACACACTCCTGGTCTGGATATGATTTTAAATGAGGCGAGTAATGCATTTGAATAGATGGGCATGTGAATGGATATGAATGTGAGATTAAATGGCGAACATGCTGACACAAACAGCTGAGTTTTGAGATGGTGACACAGTTGGGTGTCTCTTGCTACAGTGAACTCCTGAACAACTGTCTGAGCTGTTATTTTATAGTCGAAATGTCCCAAAGCAAAACTGCATCAATTGACTGCCTCAGACGAGAACTGAGAGTTGCTGCAAAGACTTAAACATCAAGGCTTCAGTTCGTGCGTCTCAAACTTTAAGGGAATTTCAAATAAGAGAATTGGTTTGTCAAAGTAGTGAGAAAAAGAAAAGGACTCCAAAGGAATCCACAGACGACTTTGTATGTGGACTCCAGTGCAAAGAACAAACATACACAGAGGAATTTGCAAGCAGCAGATGCTATGTTTTGGACAATGCCAAATTCTCGAGAGGGAACTGAGAAAGAGAGATAAAATGCAAGGCATGATGCTGAAAGCATGCCAAGAAGCACAGCCCATTAAGCAGAACTCAGCACGCGTCCTGTCTCAGCACTTGATTTTGTGCTACAGTATCTCCACTGTTAATCTCCTTTGGGGAGGTATGGGTGATCAAGGCCCCTTTGTGACTGCACCCATGCACTGAAATCTGTTTTCCTCCATAGGGGATCAAACACTTTATCTGGTACCATTTCCAGTAAAGTATATATACTCAGTGTCTAGTAATCTCAGCCTACAGTACTATTATGTCAAACATAATGCAGCTGCTGCTTTGTCACGGCCATGAGGCCCGAGGAGGACTGGTATCCTTCACATTGCCTGTGACTTATGATTGATGGATTGCATGTCTCTTTCTTGACAACCAATACTCTGCAGGACTGCAAGATGCCATTGGTGACCCACCCCACCCACACACACACACACACACTCACACACACACACTCCCCTCCTCATGAATGTTCATTATTGACTGCTGAAGCTGCGGAAGGACGGGTGGGGGTGGATGGATGTTTGGAGGGGTTGTATTTTAACCTTCATGAAGTTGCAGTAAATTATTGTCTGATCATCCTATATGGATTGCCACAGCTCTGCTATATGGCTCTAATTTGCAGGGTGTATTCCACAGTGACTCCATGTAATGATAGTTTGTCATTTATTATGTATGATGATTATGTGTAAGTTGTAGGGGAACGACTGCCTGAGAGGCTGACACATCGCCACAGGACCAGTGGTATGGTCAGCCCCCCAGTCCCCTAACTCATCTTCTGCTCGGCCACTTATTGTAAACTAATTCTGTCATGATTTTTTGGCAGTCAGGAGCCAACACCCTGCATGCAAGTGTTAGGATCGCTCGCCACAATTGTGAGCGAGCAGAAATGAACAGACCCAGGCGGCTGGCTTCGGTGCAATAGGTGGGTTTATTAACAGTGCTACAACAGGGGTGCAAGACTTATATACAAAAAAATAGAATGAATGAATGAATATCACCGGGTGATGACCAGCATTAGTGAAGGGGTTATTGTCCGTGGAGTGATGAGGTTGGGCTGCAAGGGAAGGCGACACTCCTGAGCTGGTCAAGGTGGTGATCCGGTAGACTGAGGAGTAACAGAGAGTGGATTGAATGATGAGACTGTGCATCGACCTGTGGAAGAGGTTGGTGGAGCTGAGGAAGCCAAGGTCCAGAGGAGAGGTCCAGGTAAAACAACAGGAGACGCTAGAACTAACATATGTGAAAACAGGAGAAAAAATAGTATAATACGTAATGCAAAGAAGGCTAACGACATAGAAAGAACCAGCAAGGGAGTGAAGGTAAAGCCGGGTATAAATAGGGAGTGACAAAGGAGGCGCAGCTGAAGAGTGTCAGAAAATCAGGACAGGTGTGTTCAATCAAGAGAATCAGTGAGAAGGAGCAGACTAGAGCGAGAAAGAGAGAAGAGAGGAAGGTGCAGCCGGGCAGACCTGACAGCAAGTATCCCACTTAACTTGCTTAAACCCTGATGCTTTCATAATAGATAACTTTAATTCACAAATGTGTCATTGATTTAACTCTGTTTATCATTTTGCCTTTTTATTAACTCACCACACAGCTTTATTTTTATTCTCTTTTTTTTGGCATCTGACAGTAGTGTTGGCAATAGTGTAATCAAAGAACAATAAAACAAATCAAAATTAAAATTAATATAATTCCAGTTGACCAGTGAGAAGTACTTATCCCCCTGTTGTTTTACATCTTCCAATATGAGCTGTCTCACTGAATGAATAATTCCATATGTCAGTTATGCGCAATAATTTTTTTACACCACAAATTCTTGTATTCTTTTGGCGGATTGCACAGATAATTTTAAGCCTAATGGGCAAAAAGAGAAACATACAGTAAGAGTCATCTAATGGTATCCTATGGATTGTTTAATGTAGCGATGTGTCTGCCAAATCCCTATAAAGGAATATAGAGGGTAAATGAAGATACTGAAACAGATAATTTTGTAGCAGCAATTAGGTGGCAAATGGGAGTTTAATTTTCAGGACATGTGGCCCATGAGATGGAAACAGCAGCTGGTGAGAAGCATATTTCAGAATTGAGCACCTTTCTAGGTATGAGTTTGAGAATAGCATGTATATTAAGTTCTTAGTATTGTCAACACACTTGTTAATCCTCTAATCAAACCAAACCTTGTTGGAACACATCAATGCTTCATTAGCAAATACTCCTGATCTCATTTACCTTTTATTAGTTTTCTCATCTGTGGAAGCCAGAGTCTGATTCTTTTAGCATAAGCTTGGAATAAAATGTATTAAAGATGGGGTTGGCGATTAATTTCAGTAGCAATTTTTGTTGCAGTTCTTGAAATTGTCCTTTCATCCCAATGGCAATGAATGCATTAAATGCCCTGACAAAATAAAGAAAGAAATCTGTCATCTGTGGCAGCAGCAGGGCTGAAAAAAACCTGATCAGTAATTATGCTCGGTCCGAGCAAAACCATTGAATGACCTACCTGCCTGTCAGCCTAACTTCCTACTTGCAGCCACTCTGCCCTTGCATTTATTGCGTGAGCTAAGAGTCTCCTACAAAGCCGAGTAGGAAGATGTGTTACCGCTCTGTTTTTATGGCTAAAGCTAGCAAGCTATAGCAGTGGAGGCTCACACAGAAGCTTTTGGTCACAAACGGAGACCATATTCAAGAAAGCTGTAACTAAAAAGAATTTGAATGCTGCAAAAAGTAAACCCAGAATCAACAATGGTATTCCTTTCAGACAATGGCGACAATTGAGAGAACAAAATGGGCTGAAAAGTGACGCCATGGTGGCCGTATTTCTGCTGGACAGGTAATTATCGGTTTTGTTTTGGAGGGGGGGATTTGTTATCTTCTTGAAATCTGTAGGTAGTAGTCGGGCAGTGCGCTCTAAGTTGTGTGTTGTGTTTTGGAGAAGTGGGTTTGGAGAGAAGTCAGAACGAAACGCTGGGATTTCTTTGATTGTCTTTCAAAATCAAGCTGCTTCTTGTTGGTTTTCCAGGAATGCGAACTATACCTTTAACTCAAAGTATTATTTTAAACTCACCATCTGTATTATTGGCCTGTGATACATTAATACAAGCACAGTGAAACTGAAAATGCAGTTAATTTTGGCAGTTTGTCTTTAATCTGTGCATATCCAGTAATTCAGCACAATAACAGTGTGTTACATACTATTCTAAAAATGCTAATACTTTATTCATATAGCACTTTAAAGGGGAGCTCCACCAATTTTTCCACTTTGTAAAGGTACTGTAAGTGGACCTTAAGTGTTTTCCTAGTGCTGTTTGCCCAGTGGAAGTTGTTGAATAATGTTTTCTGTCTAAATAAATAATCCCTGGTAATGATGACATTTGGATTATATGAGTTTCAAGATTTATAAGACAGTTACAAACTGCATTCACTTGGTGCTGAGTTTTTAAAAATGGCGGTGGTGGTTACATTATGGGAACTGTAAGATCCAGTATTATAGGTGCATGACCTATAGTAGAGACAAAATGCCAGGACAGTGCATCTGCTGTTGCATTGTAACTTTAAAAAAAAATCTATCTCATGACTCCCTCATATTGTTAGACCATCCCATTAAAGCTCCTGAAAACATGGTTTCAGATATTAAATACTTGTTTATAACAATGATTTGATGAGCAGTGATCAAAGTAGAAAAAGATTGATTTTATTTGTAATAATGAAAAGAGATTTTAAACCTCTGTGGGACTTACCTTGGTAAAATAAAAGCTAAATAAATAAATAAAAACATGGCAAATTTGAAGTGAACACACGTATTACCTCCAAGAAACAACCTAGATATTTAGACATCCACACCACTTTTTCCATTCTCTCTGAAACCTTCTATCATCACTTCCTCTGCAGTAGCGGGCAGAAGAGATGAAGCTGTCAGTTTCCTTACAACGCATCATCTTTTTCCTTGATATCGAGCCACAAGCAGTGAGTGGGAAGCTTTTGCATCGTGTTCCCTCTCCTCCCTGTCTCTCCATCTACTTACTGGTGCTCTCCTCTTGCAGTCTAATTTCCTTTCTATCTCTCTTCTACATCAATTCCCTAGGGAACCAGCTCTGCTGAGGGGACGTTCCTCTAAGTTCTTACACAGGCCCTGCAGCAGTTAATTGCAGCAAGAAGATACTTTATGTGCAGAGCCACCAAAGGGACAGCAATCACGCTAACAAGCAGGGGGTGATGGAGTTGAGATGGTGGAAACAGTAGTCGTGATGGTGGTGGTAAGCATCCTCTTGTGGCTACAAACCTTTCTTTAACACTTTTCAAAAACAAACAAACAAAAAAGCCTGTCATGGATATTTCTGAGCATTCATTTCATTTTAAGAGAGAGACAGTGAGACAGAGAATGTCTAATATAGCTCTTAAGTTTACAGGGGGCTCCATAGGAAGTAAAGCAACTGCTTCTATAAAGATGCCTCTGCACAAGTCTTAAAGGTGCACTGCTCCTCTAAGAGCTTTCCATTGCAAACACTTTTTATCTACGCCACTTATCTTCCTATCTCTCTCCATCCATCACCGTCTCTTGCTTCCTTCCTTCCTCCCACCCTCACAGAGATGCAGAGCTTTCTCTATCACGTTCCTGGCTCAAATTGGGTGGTGGAGAAAAGGCTGAATGCTGTGGCAGTTATCTCTGGCCTGATGCCACTCTACTGCCAGCCCTTGATCCCGCTGCCCTGCCCGGGCAGATAGGGCTGAAGGAGAGGACGGTTTTGCTGAGCTGTCTAGAAGACATTTGGTGTGTCATTTTGTTCAGTGTGCAGAGTGGCTGTCCAAAATGCCCATTTACCTGTATGCACCCCTGAAGTCTGCTTTCTGCACTGTTATCTGGTGTTAATTAAAAAGGGATATGGCACAGGCACCATAGTAAATATTGTCCTCTCTGAGAGGGGTCCTATTCCCTTTGCTGTGTGTCTCTAGATTCACAATTTAAAGGATTAATCTGCATTTTAATTGACTAGAGGGGCTCTGCTGCTTTGATGACTTAATGAGTATTAGGATATGATCAAAACACATGGAACAAATTTGGATTTAAATCTTTTAATTCATGCAGCCAAACAAGCTTTAAAGAGGATTTTAATGCAGAGCCAGCCATGTCATATTTCAGGATGTAAATAGTCACTGACATGGAGTTGTATGGTATTGCTTTTAAATGCTAGGGTTTGTCACATGCATGCCAACATTCATGTACTCTGCCCTCCTTGTCCAACACACAATCGTACCCACAGTCCTACCACACACACACACACACACTCATAAACTCATACAGGCTGAGCACTCTATGAAACCACCTATCAAGTCATTATGCACATGGCCGGGTAAAGCGATCTAGTGTAAGCGCATTGATCCATCTAGCCTCATTCAGTCTGATGAAGACCCAAGCCTAGTGATAACATTTCACAGCCAGATGAGCAACTGCTACAATACAGCACATGGCTAATGGACAGTAAGGAGCTGACTCACGGTGTTGGAAGGAAAAACGGCATATTACAGGGTGATTGAGCCAAATATTTAAAGCAATTATCTCTTAAAGAAATGTTTCTATATAGCAAATCCACTGTTTCTCTGGGACAAGATTACAAGCTTGGCTGCATTGTGAAGGGCATTAAATGACACAAAATGGAAATCTTAGCAGTATGCCTACCACTCACATCAAGGAACACACTCAGGATCCAAAGGGTACAAGAATGTGAGATTGAAAATGGCATGGATACCCACTGAAGGTGCCTGGAGGCAAGGCTTGAGTAAATCTGGATTATGTTTGCCTTTTATCAAAGTTGACTTTTTACTAATGCCACGGGCAGGCGGCTACATAAGAATGCTTCTGTTCTTAGGGGAAATGTGCACTGAACTCATCTGGCATCTCAGCATAGGAAGCTATAGTAAGCTGCCCTTTGAAAGAGCCCCACATATATAGTTTTTAAAAAACCCACAACTAAGAAGATGCAAATAGCCAAGCAGGACATAGCTGCTGTCACACTGCCCCTTGAATGATGAATATCTCTCTGGCAGACAGTGGCCCATGTGTGAACCTGGCATTTGATGTAATTTGTCTGGTCCTAGGGCTAAATACTCAATAAAGGTGGCCTGCTTTTTTTTGGTCAGCATTTTGTCAAATTGTCAGGTTTTGATTCTTTTTGTATGTGCTGGTTTTCTCTGGGAAATACTTTGCATTTTGATTTTATTTTGAGTTTAAGGCTTCTCAGGATAAATAAGAATCTCAAAAACATTAATGAAACAAGTTTCAAAAGCATTTTTAAAATTGTTTTTGTGGAGTAAGCAACATATGAAGTGCTGTTAGAGGTCTTCCAGATCAATGCTTTCATCCTTAATGCCCAGGAACTCCCATGCGAAATGTATGTTGAACTTGCAGGATGTTTTGTCCTGCCCCAACATAGCAACCTACAAAAAAAAAAAATGGAATGAAGGCGATACTACATAGGTTTCATTTCATATTTTACGATACTGTCTATTAATATTTATACCTGGTGATTACAGAATAGTATAACACACTTTACACATAGAGCACAACTGAGCTGTGAGGGTAGATCTCACTTTCTAGCCTTATTGGAATTATCCAGTAATGCTTTTTTCTTTTACCTTTTTCTGAGTTTTTCTGTGACATTATTCTCCTGTGATCAAGGATGCTTTGTCAGCAGTGTAGACAGCTGACAGCAGGTCACTATGAATCAGTGTATGAAGGTAGCAATAATACATAACATGTGTCTCTGTGGACATCACTCCCCTAAAGTTCCTGCACGCCAATTAGATTAAAGCAACCAAGATTACTTGTGGAAGAAGCACAGGAAGGAAATCAATACTAAGTCTCCAAGCAGGAACTCTGAAACAACAGCCACTGACAGTTTGAGAGTTATGTTGTGAGAGCCCAGTGTCCATCCATGTTTCTGAAGAAGCCATCACAGCAGGACTATGGGGGGATATAATCATTTATGAGACCCTTAGCTTTTTAAGAGCACAATAAGAGATATTGCAGAGATATCTGAGCCACACCCTCTCCTTACATTTTTTATTTAATGCTGTAATCTGATGTCTTGGAAAATGTGCTTTCCTAAATGAGATAATATAGAAGGTTGACACACTTTATCAGTCTGTTAAATACAAAGCAGCAGCCAGTTAGAGCCTGAAAAGTGGAAACACTAAGGAACAGCAGCTTTAGACTGGTTGAGTCAGAAAGTAAGAAAATACAACTACCAGGGCACGAATATATACAGAAACCAAAAGTGTAACAATTTGTTGTTGAGGGTTATGTACAGTATAGCAAGAGATTCCAGGAAGTCCAGAGACGGCCTGACACGTCTCCCCCCCACACCCACACACACACACACACACACACACTTTAAAAATGGTGTTTTTTTACACTTCTGCTTTTGTAATGATTAAAAAAAAAGACAATGTGTTAATGAGCATTTCCGATACTTGTGCTAATGTACTCCAGCTGTCTGTTGGCTGCAGCTTAACGGACTAATACTGGATTGTATTGGATCTCAGCAAGAAAGCAGATAAGCCTTTCCCATAAATGTTTTCTTTAGTTTACACACAAATTTAGTGGAACTACAATATTGCAAGACACAGATGTGATTTGGCATAAACAGGAAAGTGAAGACCATTAAAGCCAGATAATGGGTCTTGAATAAAGCAGCATCATAATTTCAACCTTAATTTGTGTGGGTATATGGTTGTATTCAGGGTAAACAATGTAAATATCTGATTACTAAAGACCTAATCTTATGCAAGATTAATAACACTAACCCCATGCAATTATTCACCTTTCCTAAGTAGGCTCTGGAGCATGCAATACATAATCAACTACAAGGTCAATGGAGCGCACAGGTCAGGCTACAGCACAGTGATGATGGGTTTTTCATACACAAAGATTAATCAGAAATGAAGATGTGGTGACACTACTTTATGATTGTGTCTGCATTCATGACACAGCACTAAAGCACATCTGTAGTTCTCAGAAGTCAACTGCAGTTTAAGGACTTTTTCACTGCTGCTCATAAATTATCCTGATGTGCAATGTAATTGTTTGAGCCAAAGAGGTGTCTCTGAGAACCTTATCAAATCTATTATGCATAATGAAATGGGTAGGAACCATCATTAAAAACAGAGCTAGCCATGTCATGCTGCAGAAAAATTATAACATGCTCCCACACATGCTCCTCCTTTGACATCAGAAAGGTTCCAAGTGTGATACTGAAGATAGATTTTGTACTAGAGTAGCATACTTACATGCACAACAATCACTTTGGGCTCTTTTCCTGCCAACACAAAAGCTTTTCTTGGGCGCAAGTCTATTTATTTTTGCACATCAGTGCTTTTGGTATTTTCCTACCATGAATGAAAGAACTGCGCTGAGGTGGGAGGAGAGGTACAGCTGAGGCTGTGAATATTCTGTTTAGGTAGCAAAGTGCAAATTTGGTGACCCAAAGTAACGAATCACAAATGCAGGTGCATGGCATTTTTCTCTATAGCTGTTTCAGAATCAACTTTACTGACCAAGGAATTTAACTCCGGTTTAATGTGCTTTTGTAAGGCACAAGTCAATTAAAAAAAATATATGGGAAAATAGACTAGGATGTCTAGGCTAGGAAGCACAAGAACAAATACCCAAATGTATTTTAACTCGCACACCAATTTAAAATAAACCCTTAAATCCACAACTTATCTGCTTGAATTCACTGTCGGTAGTTTATGATCTGAATTATAAAATGTGTGCCAACTTATAAAGATGATTTTTAAGTAATACAGATAAACTAGCCCTTAGTATATGGCTATAGTTATGAATATGGTCAAACAGGATTGGTATGCATCACAAGGCACCATCTGTCCTTATAGGACACAGCTGTGAGTAAATTACACTATATAATTGCTGCTGGGTACAGGACCAGAGTCTGCCTTTCATGCACAAAAGCTGGTGATTCATATTAGCAGACTAGTGAGTGAATATTTATGTACAACATTTGTGCAATAAATATTTTTCTCAATGAAGTACTGTACACAATTGAAGGAGAAGAAGATCGATGCGGTCATGGTGACTCACGGACAAGTGTATCGGTCTCCTCATGTGAAAACTTTCTTTGACACAGCCTCTCCAGATCAGCCACTGGACATCAGGGGCATCAGTCAAAGTCAGGATTCCTGTGGTGCTTGTGAAGAGAATTGGCCATTACTAAAGCCCACCTGACTCCAGCTGCACATAAAGCATTCCTCCTGCTAATAATGTATTCCGCGCTTCTTCCACATTGCACTTACTTCTGCCTGGCTGTGACTAATATGTGCCAATGCCAGTCATGCACCTTCACATGGAGTTTAGTCCTGCACTTGCTTCTGCACCGTATTTCAGGCAAACAGAGCCCTTTATCTGTAATGTATAATTAATAAGGCAGATAATTACATTGCTAAAGATAAGAACAGGAAATGACTGGGTCAGTGAGCAGACAAGGATGTTAAGAGGAGGATATTATGGACAGTTGCGGTAAATGGCAAAACAGGATGAACTGGTGATGTTGGGAGTACGCATCGGAAGCTTTTGAGAGTGAGAATACAGGATACAGTGCATGTCTTAGATTGTGGGATGCAATAGTTAAATTATCAGTAACCTTAGTTTAATAGAAGGAAATCAAATGTTTCCCTCCCTGTTTCCCAAAACTCATTACAAGTTAGGCCTTGTGGCATCCCTTACTTGAAAGTGGAAAATCTCAACTGTACAAGTGAAGAGGCGTTTTAGCACTCAGCTGGGTGAAATAAACTCCCTCGCTTTCATGACTGAATCCTCTTTTATTGGTTTTTGCCTAAAGAACAAAAACAAACTCAAGCAAAAGAATGGCAGTCTGATTCTTAGCTTAGAGTTCCTTCGGTGACGGCACCTAAGTGACAGATTGAGGCTTGTGCATGTGATAAAGGACACTAACAAAGGGAGACAGGTGGTAGTGGCTTATTCTTCACTGACTCATTTATGCAGCTCCATGAAACAACAACAATCAACCTTTTCAATGAGGCCATGAAACACATGGGTTTAATTTGAGCAGAATTGCTTTGTGTAGTGTACATCCAACATTCAGTGCATACTGACATAAGCATACTGTACATCTGCACACGGCTTTATAGCTTATACGTTTTGACATTTATATTTGAAATGAGTATCAGCATATTTTGTCTGTACTTTCAGGTTGCTACAGTTTCTCTCTGGTAAATATAAAGTTATCTCTTATAACACAAGCTCTCATCTGTTATATCACAAGGGCTCTGGTCTCTATCATCTAATTGGAAGTTTGGGTTGACATCGATGGCAGGGCCACTGTACCGTGTCAACTTGTCCAAACATACACGTGGCTGCAGCTGTGGCATAAGTCTTTAATTCTCTCTTGGGAGGACACAAACTCGGATGCACCCTCCAGACATCAGACTTTTTTTTTCAAGCATCACATGCTGCAAAATCAGCTACTTTCTGAAATGCAATGACTCAACAGTTCACAAGGACACAAGTCTGGTGGTGAAATAAAAAGATAGTCAGCCATCCTACATAGCAATGAAATAAATCAAAGCTTCAGAGAAGAATGGTGCTCATAACAAGACTAGTGTAATGAAACTTTAAGGAATGGGGTCTATAGGCATAGCCTGACCTGATTATCTTGAATGCACTGTGTCTGGTGGGTACTGTAGGTCTCAAAGCTCTGAACTTCACTGTTGTTGAAAATTTATAGGTAGAGAAGAAAAGTGAGAGTGTTCCCAGCAGCTTGTCTACAGTCTGAAATTTATTTCAGATCCACCGGAACTGAAATGTGCTTCAGTAGGATTATAAGTGATTTGCAGCCATGAAATATTTTAGTGTGGCACACTTGAACAGTTGAGGTATGATCACAATGATCGTTTGCCAGAAGCAAGAAAAGGGTTTTGCATTTCAAAAGCAACTTTTGACATTAAACAATTACAGGATATGTTAAGGACAATTCTGAAGATGCACAGATTTTGTACAGAGAAATAATCATTTATATGAGACCTTTAAAACCAGATATGGAAGGGATGCTTTTTACATTTTTATTTGAATGGA